ACAGCCCTGGGATGGTATCAGAGCCACACAAACTCTGGGCACAGCTGTTTAGTGTCCAGATGGGGCTCAAAATGAGTTGTCCAGGTAGAAGGACCTACCTTTGGTCAGACTGTGCCCACACACAAAGGCTTTCCCCATCCCCAGCCAGTGTGGTGCAGAAGACAGTGCCCATGGCCTGTGAGGATGGTGGGATGGTCCCGTGGGCAGACCCAGCCTGTTGGAGATGCAGCTGTGCTCTCATACATCATCATTAGAGCTGCAAAGTCAAGCAGCAAAAGGAGGAATTGCCAGAATAAAGGCTGTCAGAGCAATTTTAATTCAACCTCCTGGCAGATATGCCTCCTGATGGGGTCTTTAATTACCTCATCACAGCCTACTTTTTCTTCAACAAGGCTGCTGCTTTATTCAGGGCACGACGGACAGACGGCAATTAATGAAGGGCCAGTCAATATTTTGTTCTGTCCTTTTTTCATTCAGTGTGTGGCCCCAGGCATTATTTGCCACATGCCATCAAATCCTTGCTCTTAGAATTATTCATCTTCTCCTGGGCTTTTCCTTCATATGTATCAGTGCAGCAACTGTGAGGTTCCCACAAAGGAAGGAATTTCTTTTCCAACACTTCTGTGAGTAGAGCACCTGGGTTTTACCAACAGAAAAATATGGGGCAGACATGAGCTGCAGAATGCTCCACCAGCAAGGCCCAGGTGGCATTTTTCAGGATACCCACGCTGTCTCTGTTCAAAGCCCATCTTCCCTAACCTCTGCCAGAGCTGTTTAAATACTCAGGACATCTAGAATTTGAAATTCAGTGTGTCCAGAATATGACTAACATGGACCTGGTGGCTCTCAGAGAAAAAATGTCAGTGGTCTAAAGAGGGAAGATCTCTGCTGATGCTGTGCTGGAGCAGGGCTTTGTTGCAGCCAGGGATCCAGAGTGAAAGAACAGAGAAATGCTGATAAGGGCAAAGGGATGAGCTTCAGGCAGGGCAAGCTGACTGGAATTTGTGAATTTTTAACCAAAAGTTCTGTTTTTCTCCCTTAGTCATTCCCTGTAACAGCTGTGTCTTAATGTCTTACAAATTTTTCACCTTTTACCATCCTCCTTTCAGAGGAGGACATTTCACACTTTCAGCCCAAGAAATCTTAACCTTTCCTCTGGCACAAGTAGAAAGAGGTGAGAACAGGACAGAGATTCAGTAAGAGGAAGAGCTCCCTGTGCCACTGGCAGCATCAAAGGGAGCCCCACTCGAATGGATTCCAGTGAGTGCACCGGGAGTGGAACTCTGGTCACTGAACAGCTTAGGAAAAGAACAAGAGGAGAGGAAGGGCATGAACCTTCATTGCTGTCCAACAGCCCCTTTCTGCACTGCTCTCTCCTGCTCTGTGCCCACTTAAACCCTCCCTTAGAGAGCTGTCTTACTGTCCAGGACGGGCTCTCTGAGCCTCTCTCAAGCACAGCTAGGTGACAGTGCTCTCTTCTCCAGCAGCTTCTGCAGGCAGCACAGAGCTCTCTCTTGCCCTCCTAGAAATTCATGGGCCTGCTGGCCTGTCACTCAAAAGAGCATCCAGCATTTTCAGCAAGGCTTTTAATTCATTAGCTCACAGAGGAAAATATTCTAACCTTGCCCTCCTCAGCTGAGTCAATGATGCTTTCCTACCTTGCCTCAGACAATCACCTTCAGGAAAATAATTACTTAGCATGCTGATAACAGCAGACATTATCTTTGTGAACTGGGTGTTTGTTTGGGATTCACAGGGTCTCCCTGCCATGAGGACTGCAGGGAAAACTGGGGTTACTGCTTGAAACCTGACCTGCCTTTGCAGGCTGTGGGAAACTCTGTGGTCACTGGGCTCACTCCAAGGGGAGCTGGGGGGATGCTGGAGGATGCTCAGTCAGGGGGAAGGGGCTGAAGGGTTCTGGGAGGAGCTGGATGAGCTGTGCTGGGCTCCATCACACACATACATGGAAGAGGTTTCCCAGAAAAGCTGTGGATTCCCCATCCCTGGAAATGTTCAAGGCCAGGTTGGATGGGGCTTGGAGCAACCTGGTTTAGTGGAAGGTCCACCATCTAGGGGATGGAACTGGATGATCTTTAAATTCCCTTCCAACCCAGAACAATCTGTGATTCTGTGATATGTTGATCTACAGGTGGCATTTGGGCTCCTGTATGCAAGGACAAGCGAATTTACCCACAGGTCCAGCCAACCAGTTGGATTCACTTACAGGCACATAATCACATTATACACAGAATACAGATACAGTTATTTCTCTTGACCCTTGAAATGAGCTGCATTTTTGGTAGCAGAGGGTGCCCCACCTCCAGCCTCAATCTTGTTCTGTAACCAGAGCTGTTGCATCAGTTATTGCCTCTTACTCCAGATGGTCCTGATTCCATTCCCACTGAACTGCCTGCATTGCCTATGCTGTAGGATGGCTGTTCTCTGACAGACTGACTGCATGGACAAAGCTCTTGTGAAGGTGCCTGAATTTGGGTGCCAGCCCTATTTCTGACCCTCAGGTGCACCTCTCTCTTTTTGTGCCTCAATTTCCTTCTCCAAAACATGGTGATTCCAACATAAACATTTCCTTCCTTACAGTCAGACATGCTCTGGAAGTGTTGCAGGTTGTTGCTATTTCCAGGCCTGTCATTCTAACACATTTTGGCTGCACTAATTCCCTCAAACAGAAATTGTTCTGTCTGTCCTAGTCTGGGACAAAGCAAGCAATTAGTTGTCTCTTACATGTTTATTAACTCTGCAGCTTTCTTTCAATGACATGTGAAATCCAGTAATGTTTTAATATATTTTCATAAACTGTGGGCACAACATGTCCTGTTTCCACTAATAACCGTGCCATATAATTAGTCCTGATTACACAGATATTTAGTATCATTTTACATATTCCAGTCCTTTCCTAGTGCCACTGCCTAGCCAAGGCATATTTAAAGCCACAGCCATCTCCCTTCTGTTTCCCAGCAGTTTGCAAGAATTCTTTATGGAGAGGATTGCAGTTAACACAAATTGCAGATTCAAAGTACAATTTCATTTCACTGGTGTACATTTTAGGTGTATATATATATATATATATATATGGCTCTGATCAAATGTCAGGTGACAAAGCCCAGGATACAAATAGAAGGCATTTATCTACTTACAGGGAAAAGCCGGTATTTGAAATCCATCAGGAAATTAACAACATGAATCTTTAAAAATCTATTCCTTAAACATCTGTTGGCTTAGGGCTGAACATTGACCGTATTTAGGATTTTACTGTGAAGTAGCAGCCCCCAAACAAAAGATCCCTCGTGGCATTAGGCTCTGGTGGAGGAACAAGAAAAATTTACTCTGTGCAACCCGATTAGAGATGTGTATCTTTCCCTGCTGGCGTGGCTGTCTCTATAGAGATGGACATGGATATTTGATGAGATTAAAATGCTTCAGTTACCACTGTCAGTGGTTCTTTAATTTAAAATGAAGGAAGCAAACAAACATTCCTTTTGATGAGGTAACTGAATGATGCTATGGAAAAGCACTTTGCTGTCAGGTGGTAATTAGGTTCAGTAATAGTTGTGGGTTTTTAGCCTTGGAGGCTGTGGCCCCTGGGAGTCTGAGAGAAATGATACATTCAATTTCCAGAGGAGAGGAAGATGCTGCATGCTTTTCTCTGCTAACCCTGCAGGTCTCTGCAGATAAGAGCATTCAGAACTGCAGTGCTGACAATCCTCCTTGAGCCAGCCTAAACTGTGGTGTCAAGATCACAAACAGAAAAGGGAGATGGGCTCAAAGCAGGCCTAACACAGGCAGCCTGGCTCTGACCACATGTATAAGGAACTGCCAGAATGGCTGCAATGAGACGATTTTTAAAGGCTACAGAAGGAACTCCAGAAATTGCTCTCTGGTCTGGGCTGATATTTGTAACATCCATCTTACACATCACTAGAAAATCTTCAGTAGGAAAGTGTCTCTTTGTAAACATGGAACATTCCCACAGCTACTCTTTTAAGGGAGGAAAAAAGCAGGTAGAAGGAATCTCGAGGCTCAGCTGCCTCCCTTGCCAATTTGGAATTGCCTTTTCCATTGCAAAATAGAAACAATATGTGGTTGTGCTGTTAAGAGTTGGAACCCAAATGAAACATTCCAATTGGTCCAAATGCATTCAATTGAAATTTTTCAGTTTGGAGGCATTATTGCAGTTTTCTCAGAACAGAGGCAAATACTGAAGATGATGTTTCCCATGAAACAGGTGCTCTAGTTCCTGCTCTGCTGCCCTCTTCCAGCTCAAGGAGTGCTGGTTCTGCATGAACAGCTCAGTGGTATCTCCTCTGCTCCTCACACAAGCTAAGGAACACTGAAAGGGCACGGTTGGCCAACACCAGGGAAAGACCAGCAGTGCTGCAGGGAGCCAGGCATGGGCATTTCATGCCTTTGTGCCTTGCTCACCAGTGCCTGACCTTGTGTCACACTTATTTTTGGACTAACACCCACTGAGCTGGTTGTGAAACTGGAGTAAGGGCTCAGAGAGAGAGGGGGTCCTGGGTAAAGTGTCCAGCTGGGCTGGCAGAAGGAACCTGCCAGCACTGCAGCAGCTCCAAGGGGAGCTGGAGGACTCTGCCTCAGCACAGGCTTGCCAGTAGCTTCCTGAAGCACTGAAAAAGTTTGCACTTCCAGAACTAAAACTTTGCGAAATAAAAGCGGGTCTGATTCGCTCTCAGGAGATAAATGAAGGGTAAGTCCATTAAAGATACTGGTGTGAGATTGGTGTACAGCAGACAGAATTCAGGAAAGATATTGATATCTCCAAAATCCTCTGAATATTTTTTCAGACATAAACCAGGTATCTTTCCTGATCATAAATGCTTTATTTCCAAATGGAATTTCAATAAAATAAGCACGGTTAGACTAGCACTTATTATAAAGCCGTAATGCAGCAGCACTGAAGTTTAGTTATGAAATGTATTAAAAAAGCAGCCTGGATAAAGCAAGAGAAATTGCTTTCTGACCTACCGAGTTTTAGGGGTAGGTACTAGAGGTCCCTCCACCAAGGAGTTCAGCCTGTAGTAATCCAAGAATGTCCTGGCCACATTTCTTCCAAGCTTCATATCTGTGATTTTTTAATTAAGGAGCATTTAGAAAAAAAAATAAAAATAATAATAGTAATAAAAGCAGAGTCTAAAGGTAAGTTACTGCTATTTAATGCAAGAGCAAGATTTACATCAACCATTCCACAGAGCTCAGGCTTCAGGCAAACATGACTTAGGCAGGCAAATAAGGTTGGGGTCATCTTGTTTGCTTCTTGTTTTCACAGGCAGATGCTTCATAAAAACACAGACAGGAGGAAACAATCTCCCTTTCCCCCCACGCCTGGCTGCGGATCCCTGTGGTTCTCATGAAACAATACACTAGACAAAAGGGGCCCTCCAATCTCCACATTCAGGGAAAATAATTACCTTAAAATGCTTGGATACAGGCAGTATTTCTGTATCCAGGATACAAGGTCAGCTATACCATGGTGTGAACCTGCCATGGACCAGTGTACTGAAGGTTGGGATTAATGCTGTAGCCCTCACACCTTTAGCTCTGACCCCCAGAGTGTCATGGGAGAATTCACTGTTCTTTCCCTGTGTTGTATTCAGGACCTGAAATGGTGATTTTAGCACTGACCTGGAAGGACAGTAGGTTACCTTAACGAGTTCAGCAGTAACTCTGGTGTGTCTTCTCTCCTCACTAGCCACTATTTCTCCTTCAGCTAATCCCAGCATTAGGCAAGTGCTGCACATCAAAGCTGCTATGAAGACCTCAGGGGCACAGGAACCAGACCTTCCTGAAGACTCAGCTGCTTACAAAGAAGTTGAATAACCTGTGGATTGCATTAAAAAACAATATCCCAGACAACATGTTCATGGGGTGAATCTGCTGCTCATGAGAAAAGCCATCATTAAGTCTGCCTGTTACAGGGCAGCATCTCCTTATCATCTACAGGGTGATGTTCAGCTGGGAGATATCCCGTGGACTCCATTATCCACAGTTGAAGGAGGCTGAAGGCTCCTTTATTTGCCTGTTTTGAGCTGATGCCTACCCAGGCTGCAATAACCACATAGCACTCCAGGGCACTGCCACAAATGGTCATTTCAGCAGGGCTGCTGCTGCACAACCTGGGGACTCTGAAGAGACCTTTGCATGCAACACCCAGTAGTCCAGGGAGATAAACCATTGCTGGGTTGTTCTGTGTGCATGTATGCATGTTCTGCTTTATCAGTAGTTATCTGCTGATGTTTCCATTAGAGGAAAATTCCAGAAGTGCAGCATCCCAGGGGCTTCCAGCAGTGCTGGTGAAGACACTGGCCTCTAAATGAAGCTTTTATTACCCGCCCACTTACATTAGACACATCAAAACAAGTGAGCATGAGACATCAGGTTCACGCATCACTGTGAGGTCTCTTTATCGTTTATTTATGTATTTCTAAGGAAGGTCGAACCGATGTGACAGCCTTCTGCAAAAATCCAGCCACCAGCTCTGCCAGTGCTGCAGTCAGGTCTCCTGGCTGACAGTGACTCCTGACACTGCTTTTCTCTCCAACGATCTTGTCCTGATTTTCCAGCTCCCACCTCTGTGCCTGGGGATGGTTCCATGGACCTGTCCCTGCTGAGGGTCTATTGTGACACCCTTGTTTCGATCCTAATACCGCGTGTGCTGCGGGCACCTCTGTTCTCCTGGCCAGCAGCAGGGCAGAGCCTCAGCAGCAGCTGAGCTGCATGGACAGGGAGAGGCAGCTCTGTGGATCAGCACTGGCTGTTCCCTGGCTGTGGCTCTGCCCAGCGAGCTCCCCTCACATCCTGCCAGCACTGCTGGGTGACACCAGCCCTGTGTGCAGGGAGGTTTGGAAAGTCGGAGACAGCCTAAAGTTTAGCGATTCGAGGGAGGGCAGTGTTGCTCTGAAAGTGTTTTGTGATTGTTTCTGGAATTTGGGGATGGCTGGGGGTAGTTTGGTTGCTGCAGATGTGGGCTCAAAGCAGTGGCGAAGGTTAAGAGTTCAGAGTAGTCTGAGGAAGCCAGGAAGGGGAGAGGGCTGTCAGACACTTAAGGGATTGAGAAGACTAACATGGCTTGATCTTGTAGTTTCTTTCATTTACTCGTCGCTTTAAAGACATAAAGTGGTAATTGGACTCAGTAAAGTCTCTAGGACATTTTGTCAGTGGCAATCTCAGAAAGCTCCTCTGCCAGAAGTGGCCCTGCTGCCCTTTTCTTTGTCTCTCTGCATTGCTTTTGTTTGCACGGAGGGAACCTGCTGTCCTGGGGGAGGAAGCCCTTGGATGGCAGTGGGTGCAGCCAAGGAAGTGGCTCCATGAGCTCCTGCCTTGCAACTCTGCCTTAACCCCAACCTGCAGGAATCCAGTTCCACTGCTGAGCTCAGGTCTCAGGAACAGCTTTCTGAAGCCAAGGACAGCTAATCACTGGAATAACCTGCCATAGCATGCCGGGAAATGTCTAGACCAGAGGTATTAAAGAACAGGTTAAACCCGCAGCAGACATGAATGGTTTAGGTGTAACTGGTGCTGCATGAAGTTTGGGTAAGGGAACATAAAAGGGCCTCTCTGGCTGCTTCACCCCATCTTCCTACAGTTCTGAACATATTTTTCAACTCACAGAGACCTGTTTGTTAAGATTGTTGAGAAAGGTAAGGGCATTTTGCAGAGCATGGACACACAGATAGAGAGCATGAAGAAACTGGAAATGCAGTGCCACCAAAATACATCCACCAAAAAGTCACAAAATGGGAATAACTTGCAGTCAGCAATGATGAAAAGAGACTCAAACCAGCACGGGATAAAAAGTGTACATGTTCTAATATGAGTCTCTCCAGCCATCCTGCCCCCTCTTCTCTGCCTGTCACTTCTGCAAGGGATGAGTGGTTTCTGTCATGGAAATCAGGCACCTGATACATAAAAACAGGAGCAGCAGCATCAGTCTCTCCCTGTGACTGTCCAGCCTGGGCAAGAGCTGGCGTGGCTCCCTCAGCAAGTGCCAGCAGCACGTGTGTGCAGAACCAGTAGAGGAAAACAAATTAAAGCAATAACATTTGCATTTATCTCTGTGCATGGAAGGCTCAAACTCCACTTTGGCTTACAGTGTATCCTGGGCACGTAAATAACAGCTACTGCAACCCAAACCCACTTCTGCTGCGTGGTTTGGTCGGTTGGTTGGTTTTTAACCAGCTTCCTATCTGCAATCACATGTGCTGTGTGCCCACAGGAGCCCCCTTCCTAGCCTGAACTGCACTTGACAGAAGGCCATTTCCCAGCTAGTCCCATCATGGGAGCTCAGCTCATACAAGACAGTCAAAATGTATTTGGGAGGGTGATGATGGAAACAGCTGGGTGTATCTTCACCTTCACTAGCATCTGCAGCTCCTTCTCATCTCTCTTCCTCCTCCATAGTCTCATTGCTCCATGCTCCGTATTTTTACCTGGAAGTGGAAACCAGTGTCCCTCCTGCAAACGCCCTTCTCACAGCATTCACTCTGTGAATGGCATCAGATCTGGGGAGATTTCAGGACAGTCTGTTTATGCACAACTCTGCCAAATTTCACAGATGCTAGGAGGTTCAAGAATCGTGCTGGGCTCTCTGCAAAATCCCGCATGTTTATGATCCCTACCATGCCCCACAGCCCAAAGCTTCCCTCCCTGGTAAGAAAGGAGGACAGAGGAGTGGGGACTCTCACAAGCCATTACTAGTTTTCAGCTGACACAATTCATTGAGCCTATTGTGAGCAGTCTGCTTAAGCTCGAGCCTCTGGAAGTGCAGACAGAGCCTTGTTCTGTCTGTGCATGGAGGCAATAAAAATCTCAATTTGGAAACCAGTTAGCAGTACAAGTCATTAGGGGAGGTACTAAATGTTGCTGCTTTAATAGCTCACTGATCCTTTAATAATGTCACTGCTGCAGAGCATGGTGGCACCATTCGCTCGCTTTTGTTTTGCTTTTTGAAATTCAGGGTCATTCCACTTTCAAGTGAGTGGATTATCTCTCTTTTCTCCTTCTGCCAGACACTGCAAACTGCTTTAAATAATTAGAAAAAAGGATGGCTCCTTCAAATTCACAATCTCATTTTCATAAGGTCCAGTGTCATTGCTTTGGAACGGGAAGAGAAACCGTGATGGTGGTAAGGATTTGACAAGGGCAAAACAGTTAGCAGCCCCCACTCATCTTTGATAAGTCCTGTGGGGTCTCTGCCAAGCAGATTGGATCTCTGGTTTTATGTCTCATCTAGAGGACGGCACCTCCATCAATTTGAAAGACTGCACTGGGTTATTAGCTTATGGAATTCATCCAAGTTTAGTCCTAAGTAGGATTTGAAATGTGACCATTCAGTCCAGAGGCACCACTGACCAGACCCACACAAGTCTTTTGTTTCAGACAAACAGCTTTAAGTTATCCTAAAGACAGACAGAGAGGAAGAAAAAAAAAAAAAATGGAAAGGAAGAAAGAGGGTAAGGAAAATGAGAACAAAGAGAAAAATGAATCTTTTTAATAGCTCAAATTAAAAACCAGAAGAAGCTCTTTGTTTGAGGCAACTGAATTTTACAGCAAATCTCAGTCTACCACAACGATCCTGTTATTTATGAAAAGAGGGTTATTTTGTTTGGGAGAATTCCAGATGACTGTGGTCAGAGAGCATACTGTCAGCTTCATACAGTCTCAAGAGAAATATGGATGAGGTTTTCTCATCCATTTATAACAGCTTCCATCAATGGATCAAACCCCTTCCTGACTCGAACAAGAGCTCTAATGGAAAATGGCATTACAGGGCTTTAAACCACCATGTTATATCATGCCAAGCCTGATCAGAGCTAGTCCTCTATTGCAGCAGAGCTGTTTTCACCAGTTACTTACTTATTTTGTTTCACTGTGCTGACACTGTTCTCTAATAAACAGATGCTGCCCCAATCTCATCTCCTGGGGGGGCCCACTCCAAGCAAAGTGTAAAAAAAATAGAGACTCGGTGGTGCAGGAGGGTGGGGAGAGGGGCTGTTCCAAGGCTTTTCACCAGCATTTAACATGCTGCAAGTCTGGGTGCTGATGATGCATCCTTCCCTGGTACTC